ATCGAAGTGAGAATTCGTTGCATAGTGCGTTATTAATTTATTCATATATATATATATTACAGGATCAATATTTTTTTCAGCATTGAGCGGGTAGGTAATGGAAAAACTATTAAAATTATTTCCCAGATATCCACCGGTGAGATGGGAGAACTGGATATAAATTTCCGTTGAAGATAAAAGCAAATTGCCGGAAGGAAAGGGAACAATCCTAGTGCGCGATAACAGAACCTTCAGCCAGAAAACTGAATGGATCAAATTGTTCAAATATTGATACACATTCTGACGCATAGCATAAGCAGAGAGCGGGAGTAAGATATGCTATTGTTCCAATTCAAGATGGGTCAGGATGACCCACGCAAGGTAAAAGGTGCATCAAGTTTAGGAGCAAAATATTGCTCATTTTTCTGAGTGTAAAAATTCTAGGCAATTCGCCGGTTTTCGGTAGGAATTTTCGGCGGATACGAGTTCTAAAAACGGCCAGCAGCGACATACATGAAGTGCTTAAAGCGGATAGCGGAGTCTCAATGACTCGTCCAGGGAAAGGCGAGGGAAATGGTCTCGGGAGACCGGCATGACATGGGAAAACATTTGTGCAGCGCATGCATGAAGAGACCGACTTGTTCAGACCCAAGGTCTCGGGAGACCGGCATGGCATGGGAAAGCATGTGTGAACCACAAGCATGAAGAGACCGACTTGTTCAAACCCAAGGTCTCGGGAGACCGGTATGACATGGGAAAACATGCGTGCACTGCATGCACGAAGAGACCAACTTGTTCAGACCCAAGGTCTCGGGAGACCGGCATGGCATGGGAAAACATTTGTGCAGCGCATGCATGAAGAGACCGACTTGTTCAGACCCAAGGTCTCGGGAGACCGGCATGACATGGGAAAACATTTGTGCACCGCATGCACGAAGAGACCGACTTGTTCAGACTCAAGGTCTCGGGAGACCGGCGTGGCATGGGAAAACATTTGTGAGCATGTCATGCGATAAACATGTGTGTACCGCATGCATGTCATGCGATAAACATGTGTGTACCGCATGCATGTCATGCGATAAATATGTGTGTACCACATGCATGTCATGCGATAAACATGTTTGTACCGCATGCATGTCATGCGATAAACATGTGTGTACCGCATGCATGTCATGCGATAAACATGTGTGTACCGCATGCATGTCATGCGATAAACACGTTCGCTCTAAGCCTTGTTCACAAAATTGTTTGAATTAGACATGGGAATCAAATATCAGTTCTAAATTATTGACCTAATGAAAAAGGAAAAAGGGAGAAGAGTTTGAATAGTTAATAATTCTTGGGAGCTCCTTTTATTTGCGGATTTAAAAATCAGTGGCAAATCCTTACCTACATTTCAAAATCGTCTTCAAGTGAAAATATCTTACTGTAAATAGAACAGAGCAATTGCAGTTTATTATATATGTTTGAATGAATGCAGCATTTCCTCAGCTTGGAAATGAGAAATTGAAACGAATTTCTGTGCGGAACCACTGTTTGATTTATGACAATGAAGTGACCTCGCTCACCTAAGAATTATTTGCGTTATTTTGCTGACTTAAAACCAGCAACGCCTTGTAAATACCGAAATATTCGGACCAATTACCGTGGAGTTAAGGCCATAAAAAGAAGTAAGAAAACTCATTTCCTTGATAAACTACATAATAATAATAATAATAATAATAATAAGTTCAGAACATTATCTAGTTATGGCTTTTCGATTTTAAATTATTTCAGCGAGATGCAATGCTAGTAATAAACTGTAATAACTTCATAAACAGGCATCGGATAATTACTTCAACTTATTTGGCAGTAAATTCTGTAGATACAACTAATCAGAGTTTAATTGAAACTGAAATATTAATTCATGCACTTAAAGTTTCCTGAAGAATACCACCGAAATAATTAACCCATTGCAGCTTCTATGATGGCATGGATTGAACGTTCTGTTGAACGGCGCACGAAAATTTCTTTGCCAAGAGTTAAGGCAGCACAACGAGTTCTCGGCTCAGACGACTCTGCTCCATTACTCGTATATTCAATGCGGTTACTCCAAACGATTCGATTCTTAAGAAATTTAATGAAATAATTTATTGGATGACATTAAAGAAAAAATTTTATGAAATATTTCAATGTATTATCAGTAAATAAGAAATTTGTAACTAGCGCAGAAGGCATACAATATAATTTCCGTGGCACCAAGCGACTACCGTGCACCAAAGTAAAATTCTATTAACAACTAACCGCATTAAATTTTTAATTATGAAAATTTTTTTCATTTTGGAAAATTTTTCCATTGTGAAAAAAGTAGCCTTACATATCGACTGTTTCCTGATGCAGCGATTTGACCTATTTAGCTATTCTCGAATTTTCTCAACATAAGAACAATGACTTCAAAATGCAATCCTAGAGAAACAACAGAAGTGAAACAGTAATACTCGTATAATGAATATTTTTTGAAACTGAATAAAAAATACATTGCATCAAAAAGCGTTAATTCTCAAAATAAACAACCTCTGTACAAACTTACAGCTTTTGTATTTACGCGATGGAGTCTGGAGCATGCGAAGATCTCGCAATATAGCGGCCCTGGCCTTTAACCTCTGCACCAAGTTACCGAGAAGGTCGCGCTGCGGCACGGCATTCCAGTTAAGAATGCAAAGAGAATTTACCGGTGCCCGATTGCACCAGCTTCAGAGGGCTCAGCAACCGCTAATCCAGCTTTACTAGAGCGAGCTGACCTGCGCTGTAAACGCTGCAAAAAGTGCCTGAGTCGGCCTTGAATTTGCCACTTAGGAGGCGTAAAAAAACTTGTTGTAAACTTATAAGTTGGTAAATGGTCTCCTTGAATTTACGATGTTGATCACACCGGCTGGCACAAGCTGTGTGTATTTGGTTACGAGGATTTGCAAATAATTGTAAATGAAAATTCATGTTTATTTTTAAACTTGCAAAGTTCACAAGTAAACTCAAAACAGAATACGTAAATTTTCAAACAAACTCTCCTCCCCCAAGACTTACAGAAGTAGGAAATGCGTTCTACTTTTAACCAATATAGGCGCGGTATATGTGAGATGAATTGACGGATGTTCGTGGTGAATGAAATTCATGATTGAATGCTAATATAACAGTGAATATGACTTATTCATGTAATCGAACGGTCGGTAATTCTGCTCCGAAAAAATTAGAGACGATTAATAAGACGAGATAAGAAATAACAAAATTTTTATCTTCTAGTTAGCAGATGTAGAGAGACGTAGAAGTCCCCTCCACGAGGTAAGATACCGTCTGCGTTATTTTTAAGGCAAACCCATAAGCCTTAAAAATAAAAAAAAGTAAATGAAAAATATCTCGAAAAGATCGGACTGCACCGCTGAATAATAAGATTCATGTTAATGAAACAATTATATTCTTCAACTAAGAAATTTAGACGTTTAATTAGCGCTCGATTAGCCTTAGATGTATAATTACCTGAAAATCCTCGACAAATTTCCGCTCTGGGGTTAAGGTCACCGTATGCGCTAAAAAACATGTTTCACAAATACATTTCGCAAATGCCGGCGTCAAAGTAGTTGACCATTACTTTTGAAAACAAGAATCAACAGCACACAACAATGTTTAAATAGCCAACTGAGCAAACACATTTCGCAAATGATTACGAACATGCAAACCTAAACCCGATATAAATATACAAACATAAAAACCAAAACCGGTTACTGATAATTTAGAAGACAACGCAACCGAAGAAAATCCTCCAAAACGCAAACCCAATGCAGGATTTTCTTCCTATTTTTATTCTTTTCCATTAAGGCGTCGGAGGCAATCACTAGCGATGCTAAAAAATGAAAATTAAATTAAAAAAACACCAAAAACTCAACCAAATTGATGGGATTTTGCCTTGATAGCAATGCACCTTATGCTCATGTTGGCCCTGCAAGAAGGAATATCAGTGCTACGTGCATGTTGTGGCAACAATTTGGACAATATGTTCCATTCATTTTTCCAGTGTAAACTCTCAGCACCTGAATTGCGGACGCAGAAATCTTGCATGGCGGTCGGGGTCCGGCAGAGCGGACGCCGGGTGTCCTAATGAGCTAATGCACTTGAAACGTCCGCGCTCGCAACTAAAGCAATTGTTTGTTTTAGTGTTGTTCATTCCAGCCAAAGAGGGAGTGAGAGATTGGCGCGACATTAGGTTAAGTGAGTGTTGGGGTGAAAAGTATTTTTTGTGATTGGTTTGATGTGAAAATCTTGAAAAGGGAAGGACAAATGCAGCACTACAAAGAAACATGGCAAATACAAGAATATTTCTAAAGCAATATAAATATTTAGAGGGAAACTTCTTTAGTTATATAGCAGGAACTTGAATGATACGTTTTATCGTTTATGATCATTTTGACGGCCATAGATTTCACAGTGTAATAGTTTATCGAAATCAGCCATTCTGAAACCAGCCAATCAAGGACCAGTCTTTCAGAAATCAGCCATCCAGGGATCAGTCATTCTAAGACAAGCCAATCTACGATTAGCCATTCTAAGACCAGCCATTCTAAAACCATCCATTGAACGATCAGCCGATCAGAAATCAATCATTCAGTAATAAACCATTCTTAGAGTCATTCAAGGACTTGCCATTTAAGAACCAGTCATTTAACACTCAGCCATTTCGGGATCAGACATTCAGGGATCATATAATAAGAAATGCTGAAAACTAGATCTCGTGCCATTTAATTTTAACTCACCACTTGAGACCCCCAGACTTGATATAGATATGTGCTAGAGATTTCATCATAAAAGATTTACACAAGAAGTTAGTGATGTTATTGATTTAGTTTACTTCTCTACTCTAAATCGCATTAAAATAAAAAATATTAAATCTCCGAATAATATTTGAAGAATTTCACATACTGAAGGGACCAAGTGACTCAAATAAGATAAAGATTAATACAAATAAGATAAAGATTAATAATATTTGTACTCACTCCAGGATCCTGCGTAAGAAACTGGCGTTGGATGCACACAGCCGCCGGAGAGTCAAGCTTGCCCCGATGTCTATGGTTGTGTCGTACTGCTCATCGACTTCCTGAAGGACGACGCGTTTTTTCGGTGTCTTAAACATAACTTGAGCTTGCCCAGCAACAGAGTTGTCAAAGTGTCCGTGGACATCGTTGCGTTTCGTTCTTTTTGTTCCAGTTACTGAAGGAGATTGTGGGAAAAACCCGACGTGTGGGACTGAGGAAACCTTCACAGACTTCTTACATCGGTGGGCAGGAGAGTCTGGAGCGTTAGGAACGTCTGGAAAAACCGTCTCAGGAGGCAAGCTCGGGGAAGTTTTATTGTTGTTTGAGAATTGATGATCTTGAGGACACACTGTGGGCATTGCGAGCGACTGCAGTGACTCTACGGAGAGGATGGATGAATCGAAGCCGGTTTCGTCCGTCATGCATCGCGCTGATTGATCAGTAGGCGATGAGTCCGTCATTGCGGATAGAATTCCAGGAAATTTGTTGCTGCCGCTTAGGGGTCTTGGAAGCGGGTTGTGAGGATCACAGAGGTAACTCTGAGCACCTGAATTACTCGATGAAAGGAAAGTTTCTTTGGAAAAATCAGAGTTGCAGGCATCCCATGAATTTGTTGAACTTGCCGCTAACTGTTCGCCTGAAGATCGACTGAAAGTTTGGCTCTTTGATGGAGGAATTATGATAGTTTTAGGAATTTTCGGAAAGTTGTACAAACTTTTGACTGCTTTGACTTTTCTTTGGCAGTCAGACTCAAAGTAAAGTTTTGGTTCAAAGACAAAATTCGTGAAGGGCCGCTTATGATTGACGAGTAACTGCGATGATTGATTAATTGAATAATCGAGACTTCTTGGAAAAGCTAAGAAATCCCATTGCGAACTGCATGTGTTCTCCGATTTCTGCTCGGCGATTGGCAAACTCAAAAAGGCCCGCGACACTTCAATGTTGTTTATGGCGGCGTCGACTGACTTCTCGAAAGTTGAAATTGAATCACGGAAACAAGTTGATGTAGTGCCACAGGACTTCATTATTTTTCCAGAATTGATAGAAGATTCGACTGGTCGCTTATAGCATGAAGAAATGCTCTCAACTGCTGGGCAGACAGCTGATGTTTGTCGCTCTTTCAAATCCATTTGGTACATTGCTTGGTCTCCTGAAACGAAATGAACCTGGCAAGTATCTCTCTCACGTCCATATATCCTCGAAGAACTTTTTTCACGCTGTGGCTGCAAATGGTGGAAGTGAGCGGCATCAATCACGTGCTCTGGGATCCCACCCATGCTGGTTTAAAGAAGATGTTGCCTGGCGAGATGGTTTATCTGGAATATTGAAGCGCTTGCCTCCCACATGCCAAGTTGAGTGGGCAGTGTGTTTGGAAATTGTACAAAAGGTGGTAAGGAAATCTTTTGAAACTCTGAATAAGGAGCAATTAAATAATCATTTATTAGTTGGAATCCTTGAAATAAATTATTCCACTGGTTACCAAATTAGTGTTAATAATGGCATAAAAGTCACTTTGAACCAATAAAAATCTTTTTTCGTGTTGATAATCATCTGTAGTATTTTTCAGAGTTTTCAGCGTTCTCGTGATCACTACACATGTAAGAAAACACACTTTTAAGACCCTTTGTAGTCACATGATATATACTGACACAAAAGTGTAGAAATTTTAATATTTGACGCATTTTTACTCTAAAAATTGCTAAAGTAATTATCCTGAAACGCAGATTTTTTTCAAGGTTTCACATTCTGCCAACTTTAGGAACTCATTATTTGTATACACTGATTTTATAACTTTTATGTTTCTATAGTTCGAAATAATGATAAAATTTAATGCTCGTTATCTATGCTACAGTACAGCAGAGCGGTAAACATTTTAATGGCATATGAGCACATCATTTTAGGACTACAAGCACCCCCCATCTTTTATGTCACACTCCTGAAATAAACTCCAAAAATACGCAATCGAGCGTCATAGTAAAACTATTCATTGTTTCTCGCTCAGCACCTGAGCCGAAGTAGCTTAAAATTTTCAATTCCAATCTAAACTTAGATGGCTTAAGCTCTTCCACAAATTAATCTAAAGCTGCAGTTTAGGAGGCATGATCTCCAGGCCATGCCAGGAGACCGTTGCTGCATGGTGCAGTTGCTGAATTTTCTGAAAAGAAATAAATATGTCCACCTGTTACTTTCCCTTGTTAGGAGTGAATTAGGTGAAATACGTTGAAAAACATTTATCCCTTTTTTGAACTCGAGTAACATAAACCAAGTACGTAAAATGAAACAATTGTCAGAAAAATTACGATGCAGTGGAATGCAAAACGCACCGAATTTCCGCGGACAATTACCTTACAATCACTCGCAATTTCCGTAAAGTGCCTGCATGAATATTTCTTTTTCTTTTTTTTTCTTTTATTTATTCTTATAGGAGCACTGGAAACTAGTCCATAAAGCCCCTTGCCTAAACTGGGTTTAATTAGTACTTAACTGTTTTAACAGCTCTGAAAACGAAAACCAGTAAAACGTGGTAAAGGGAACAGTGAAAATTCCGCATGAATATTTCATTTAGAATGGAAACACTAAACTCGGAGCTTGTAGCGCAACGGCTCCACCTGTAATAATATATTGCTCAGCGTTCCTAAGGAATAGCAAACAAGATTCTGGAGTTTGTCAGAAAAAAATGGAGGGAAATGCACTACTGGAAATGAAAGATTTTTTCGAGTGAAATTTAAAGTGAAAGTTGATTTAAAACATGAGCTTTGGATTAAATCCCAAGTAATTTTTGCTATTTGCTATAAATGAAATACCAGGCATGCATGACGGTTTCCTTGACGCTCTCGGGACAAATAATGACCACGTCAACATGCTGTGAAATAGAACAATAATTATACCTCATAGATTATGCTAGAAAAGCATAATATACACAAATTTCAACTACCAGGTAGTTCCTGCCCTATTTAGCTACAAAATTGGTCGACAGCAGCTTGTGAAACTATGAAAAAACTCGTAATCGAGTCAAGTTAAGAAACGACCTCTTAACAGTAAAAGATGCGCTCGTTATCCCGTAAACTCCCTGTAATGTATTGCTCGACCGGAATAATTCTATTTAATCCGCCAGCACTGCCAGGACGGAGGATACCGCGAGATGCCTTCACGTTCGTCCCGAGCATCGGTAGCAAACTGCTGCAAAATTTAAATGATTGTATGGTTAATGTACAGCACATATACGCGCATGTGACGTACAATGACGCACATGTGACGTACAATGACGCGCATGTGACGTACAATGACGTAAATGTGACGTACAATGACGCATATGTGACGTACAATGACGATGACGCACATGTGACGTACAATGACGCACATGTGACGTACAATGACGCACATGTGACGTTCAATGACGCACATGTGACGTTCAATGACGCACATGTGACGTACAATAACGCACATGTGACGTACAATGACGCACTTGTTGCAGTGGGAAGCACAAACACATACTGACCATGACCATGATATACTAAACTAGTATATTATGTATATTATTATATTATTTAGTATAATATACTAGTTTTATTCACTGTAAATTTGAAGGCAATTACGGCGCGGGTTTCCAGAGTTTCCATTAATAAAATTATTCAAGACCAAAAAGCTATTGTGTAGCAGAATTAATCCGAATTTATTATAAGAAAAAATATTACATACACTAAAGAAGTCTGCCCATCTTCTTATTCAATCACACTGGACCTCTGAAATTTCTCGCTTAACCCGCGGAGTAAATACGAAAAGAATACAATGAATATAGAATGATACATCAATTGTATGAAATACTTGAATTACTTCAATTGTCAATTTGGCGTTTTCTGCGTGCTCCGGGCGTTTATCAATAGATCGTACAATGAAAAATTGGAACATTAGCGGTGTACCTTAAATTAGGTAACACCGTACAGGGAACTTACCTTTGCTGTCAAATGTATCCACAAATATCCTCCTTTTCATTGAATTGAATATTATTTATTCTCTTAATAATGAACTGGTACCGTTAGGGAACAGGAAATGAAAGCCCATTTGTAGAAGAAACAGTACGGATGCAGCACGAAGGATTCCTGAAGACAAGAAAATGAATTCGGTCATCGGAAGGCACGTCGGCACTTTTTCCACCAGAGTGGTGGTTTTTATCATTAGGCATAACACATTTGGTTTCGTGGCACAGCACATTTAGCCATCTGGCATAGCACATTTAGTCATCTGGCATAGCACATTTGGTCATTTGGCATAGTACATCTGGTCATTTGGCACAGCACATTCGGTCATTTGGCACAGCACATTTGGTCATTTGACACATCACATTTGGTCATTTGGCACATCACATTAGGACATTTGGCACAGCACATTTGGTCTCGCGGCACAGCACATTTGGTCTTTTGGCACAACACATTTGGTCATTTAGTACAGCACATTTGGTCATAGGCATAGCACTTGTGGTCTCATGGCATAGCACATCGACACAATTTATTTATTCACCGATATATCTTTATCATTGTCCATGAAACCGTCACGGCTGGGACAGATAACCCCTTTAAACGTGGCAAAAGGACAGAGGTAATTCTAATCAAGTCACCCTGGTTGCATCCTTCGTCGCTCTTCTGGAGCCATCTTCGCAAGTCTTTCGTCTTTTCAAACTATAAATGCCGGGAGCCTCATCGTCATATAGGTGCAGAACTCCATAAGAACCTAAATTCGTATTCTATAAAAATCCACAATAATAAATCGGATATTTTGCTATGAGTTACTAATCTTGCATTCTATGCATGTAAAATCCTAGCAATTGCGACTTGAACAATTTTTATACATAAATAATCTTAACGATTATCCATGTGGCTTATTAAGTAATACAGTTACATACCCCCGCCCATGTGCAAACCTATGGGTGCACTTTTTTACTGCTAACCAAACGATATAGATGCAACGTATATATCAACAATATTATACAATTTCTACAAGGTTTCTCTCTCTACCCTTTCTTAATTTTTACAGGCAAACACTTATTTAGCCGTTCACAGTATCAGAACAACCTAACAAGGTACACACACAATATTTAAAATTAGACCGTTCATCTCGGTTACCGATCAGGCAACATAAAGGAAACTCAATTATCCTTGTTACACCAAGCTTTCAGTTATATCCTCCTACGACCTAATTAATTCATGCACAATTGTTTGCACTTAATGATTTTTATTTATCAAATTTTGAAATGAACTGCATTTAAAAGCGAAATTTTATTTAATCATTGGTATATATTTGTAGCCTGGCGGTATAAAGTCCCAAGAGGGACTGGCAGGACTGAACTTACACCATCGAAGAATGGATTGGGAGGTAATTTGCAATGAACTTGACGACATTGATTGGAGAGAAGATTTTCTTGAGAAGCATGCTGAGGAAATTTGCACAAATCTATGAGAAAAACTAGCACAGGTGTGTGTGCGTCATACCCCCATTAAAACGGGCTCTAAAGTCCATAGCATTTCTGGAGGCCGCAAGTCATCATGAGAAAACGTACATGATTAAATAAACAAATAGCTAAATGCACTAGTGATCTGAGGAGACACCGGTTAGTAGAGCTCCACAAGGAAACCGAACTACTGGGGCAGGTTGAATCATCTAGAACGGTACTCAATAGAGGGGAGAAGAGAAAGATATGCCATGCTGTGCACTTGGAAGATTATAACCGGGTTGGCTCCCAACTTTGAGAGTGAGGTCTCCAAATTAGTGACGTATTACAACGAAAGGAGAGGGAGACTGAGCAGGATTCCCTCATTCAATAACCGTGCAGCGGCCAGAGTACAGACCCTTCGCGAGGGATCACTGTTCATGGTAGGACC